AGTATGACTCTATCTGGTACCAATTTCTGTAGCGGTATGTGTAAATACATGGTGTTCTCCCTTTCAAACTGTGGTAGCTGTCGCCGCACTTACGGGACAGAAATTTCCCTTTGCTGATGGCCCACATCAGCAACGTGTTCTTATCACAAAGAGGCGGTAAAGCATAAAACTTTTGGTGTCGATAATCCCATTTCTGGTATGCGCCACGCATTCTACTTCAATTCCAGAATCTAGTGGAATCAGTCGAATTGACCCATGCAATAACTTTTTAGGTCAGTTGATGGCAAGTCAGTTTTTAATATTATCGGGACAAGTCTGCTACCGATTCTTCGTCTTCGGAGGGAGGGAAGGCTTGGTTGGCTTGAACGGCGTACGGTCCAGGATGTGACTCGGACCCTGCGCGTGGTATGTGGTGCCATTGCTACTGCACAACTTCCGCCCCGCAAAGGGATGTAGTAGACTTCCAATAAGCAGAAGGGGCTCTCGTCCTCTATCCTTATGGTTAGTGTCTTCATATGAACACATTTTCATCGCCGAGGAGCTCAACGAAGCCCACGTTTTGTGTCAACCTGAAATAGCTGCAATCAGGATGAATAACGGTCGAGGAATCCTCGACCATGGCTCTGTACTGTGTGAGAATAGTATCGAGAGTGAATGTATGCGCAGAGCTCGCGCGTGGCGAGAGTGAATGTCCGCGCGAGAGAGCGTGACTGAACAGGCGAAACTCCTCGACGAGCCGTCGACGAATCCCCGACCGATTTGACCGTAGATCGAGTCACCGGCAATTGCTTCCTAGAGACGTTGACTGTCATGGCTCTCGTTGTGGAGAACCTCTGAAACAGGCTCACTGCTTCTCAAAGGTTCGTTGGCTGGCGCGGACTACTGGTGTGCGCTACAATTTCTTGAAGGCCTGGAGTCTGATCTCATCTTTGGATCGCGCTAGTGCTGAGTGTTGACTACTACATCCAGCAACACAATGACAACATTTCTCTGGGAACACTATAGCAAGTAACGATGCGGCTATCCACGGTTAACATTTGGGACCAGATGCATGGTCTTCGGTCTGTGGCTCGAACTAGAACTTTGTTCCAGGGATGAAAGGAACATGTAGATCAGATAGAAAGCATCTTTA